CTGAATATTCAGAGTAAGCTCAGTTCAGTCATCAAATATATTCTGAAAGGGAACAGGACTAGAAAAAAACAACAGCTCCAGTACCAGATTAGGGGCTGAGTCTCAAAAGAAAAAAATCTCTTTTCTGACTCAAAAAAGTACTTTTGCAGCAATTATTTTTAAAATGTATTTCATAGTCAGAGAAAAAAATATGAGTAGCAGCTCTATTTTGTGTTCTCTGTGCTCTGCCAATAAGACATTTTTAATTTGTCACAACCCTTACAACCAGTCACTCATTTGACTCTACGCTCCTCACTTGATGAAGCTTGCAATGTCTTGTACAATATGCAAACAATAATTTGTGAAATGGCATATTTGGTGAGGGCATTTGCTATTATCTCTTCTCTAAAATAAAGGTCCTTCAGAATTCTCATCTTCCTGACTTAATGTTTAATGGTCTGATTAATAAACACAACACAGTAACGTGCAAGACAGTACAGTATTACAGCATTAACAAAATCCTGAGAAAGTAGCTGGATTTTACTAAATCAAGACTAATGTAGGAGCAACAAGTGAAAGGAGTCCTGAAAATAATTTACTTAATTAAATTCAGTCATAAAAAAAGAACATTACTATTCTAAGTTCCCCTTGTTACTTTGGCTTTCAAATTAAATTTTAGTTAATAAATCTGTATTATAGAAATACAAAAACATAACTGCACCACTCGTTAAGAGCTTGTCTTCAGCAACTGCATCTTTTAGACAGCTAACCTCAATGGACACAGACATTTCCCAGCAAATACAATTGAGCATAACAGAATATAGAAAATAATACAGTAATCATGCTTATCTAGGTTAGGTTTTGCAGGTTTTTTTGTACTCAATTTCATGTAAACAAAAGGGAAAGTCACTTGCATTTGGCTCACTAAGCTAAAAAGACAATCAAGCTGAAAAGATATTCCTGACAACAACTGGGACAACAGTATTGTGATTATTGTTTGGGCCTGTTTGCATCAAAACACCTATGACGTCAGAGCAACAATCATTTTAATTCTCAAAATCCTTTTTCCTACGCAGTTATGAACGGTTTCATTTTACATGTAAACTTAAGACCATTCAGAAATACAAAGAATTTGACTTAGGCCAATATAAAAAAACCTAATTTAGCTATTCACAAATCTCCACACTTGGCAAATAAAACCCACCAAGCCTGTAAGCTCAAGGAAAGGATGTGCTTAATTGAATGAAGTAATGGAAGTCTGATGAAGTAAGGAAGTAATGAAAAATCTTCTTCAAATGTATGAAAAAGAGGGTAAAACGTGATGCTGAACAGTCTTCCTTTAGCACTAATGAAAATGAGAGGGTGCAGAAAGACAATTGTACTGATTGAGTCTTAATGATACATGTACCACTTCCAACTGCTTGGGAACACGTGTATGAAGGAACACAGGAGTGACGTGGGATGCACACCAATAAATTCTATTCCCTTGTTCCTTTCCTGTGAACACCAAATTAGAACAAACAGGACATTTTCTTGTCTGGCAGTCATCACTAGCCCAGCAATGCTAAGTACAGTTGACAGATCTGACTGTAGTCAAGAAAACATCATCTGTGACAGGAAATACTGCACTTGCAAGAAAGTGCTTGTTGTGTTTCCACCTGATCAGGTGTGGAACTTAACACCTCACATTTTAAAAGAGAGAAAACCCCCAAATTGCTAGCCCCTTGTTGCTGGCTGAAACCAGGTTACAGTGAGTGCTTCCTTAGAAACCTATGTAAAAAATGGTGCCTGCATTCCACGTGTTCTTCACCACAGGGACAGCCACAGCAGGAGGTGAGTTTCAAAAGCAAATGAGTGCTGAAAACCTCCAGTCAAAAATTCATTTGTAAATAGTTGTATGGCTGTTTTGTTCAATCCACTTCCAGATAACACAAAACCACACTGTTTATAACAATCTTGTCGTTTCATCAAAGCAAATTCTCTTTTCCCAACAAGTATCCTTTGTTCAACAGAACTGTTAATTAAAAGTAGAAATGAAACTAAATGGGAAATAAAATGCATTTCAGAGGGAACTGTATGAATCTAATAAGACTCACACTGCTGTCACTGCCCAGAAATAAATTCTTTGTCAGCTGTCATGGGCAGCAAACCGAACTGAACAAACCATCAGATGACAATGGGTGCATTTTCAGGTTTTAATACTCAAACTGAGACTTGCCCCAGCCCCAGAGTCACCTCAAGGCAGACTCTAGCTTACTGCTGCTGCTGAGGCTAGAAGGTGGCTGGGGCTCTGCTGCAGGATCTCTGGGCTCTGAGCTGCCCCAATTTTGGGCCCCTCAATACCCAGGTCTTACTCTGAGAGCTCTTGGCTCATATCTGGCTAGAGACTGGGCTAGGGGAGAAATGAAGATGTAAACTAGGTCATGTATGCATTTAAAATGACATTATTGTTTCCACTTAAAACCTGCTGTTGTCCTTCCAAGAATGCATAAACTCCAGCCAAGAATTTTCTTAACATGAACACAGGCCAAATGCTAGAGATTACATATTCAACAGAAAGAAATACATTGAGAATGTAGCAGCAGGATTTTTCTCAGATGCTAACATAAAGTCTACACAAATAAAAACAAAAATAGAAGCGATTCTGTCTCTTAACAGAAATTCACTTGGATATTTCAGAAAGTGGTGCCTTCCAATAAGTTCTCATGCTTTTTTATGTCTGTTCTGGGTAACACTCATTGCAGCATCCCAGAGAAGTACAGCCATGAAGGTGCCTTCTTCAAGTCCAGTAACCTCCCAGTTCAATAATTTTAAAGCACATTTCTACAGCTAATGCATTTCTGGACACGCCAGCCATCACAGATAAATATTCTGTGTATATACTGGCCAGGAGAAAGGCACAATAAGATAATGACAAACATGATATAGCAGCAGTAAATGAATAACAAAAGAAAAAAAAAATCCAGTACCCACAACAGGGATTTGCCACAGTCTTTAACTGAATTTAACTGAAGTATTTTTCTTTTTCTGCCCTTTAAGAAGGAAATAAACAAAACAAATGCTTCAAAGCATTTTACAATTAAAGAAATGATACCTATAGAACAGCATTACTTATGTGGAACTGAAAACAAAACTCAGTACTAGTGAGCATTCCTTTGTAGATCTGGAAGCAGATTATCCACCAATCTCCCCAAACTAAAATTATTTCTGAGCTACAATTAGTAGGATAAAAACTAATGCACCAAAATAGGATTATTCTAGTCATGGTGGATATACATAGAAGAATAGAATATCCTGAGTTGGAAAGGACCCACCAGGATAATCAAATCCAATTCCTGGCCCTGCACAGGACACCCCAACAGTCACACCATGTGCCTGAGAGCATTGTCCAAATGCTTCTTGAACTGAGGGCTGGTGCCACGACCACTTCCCTGGAGAGCCTGTTCCAGTGTCCACTTCACAAAGCTGAAGAACCTTTTCCTGATATCCAACCTAAACCTCTTCTGACACAGCTTCAGGCCATTCCCTTGTCACTGGTCACAAGAGGGAAGAGATCAGTGCCTGCCCTTTGTCTTCCCCTCCTGAGGAAGTTGTACCTGCAGTGAGGTCTCCCCTCAGTCTCCTCCAGTCTGAACTGACCAAGTGACCTCAGCTGCTCCTCACAGCTTCCCCTCCAGACCCTTCACCATCCTTGTGACCCTCCTTTGGACACTCTCTAATGGCTTAATGTCCTTTTCATATTATGGTACCCAAAGCTGCACACAGTTTGTTAACTTCCCCAAAAGAAGCCGCTTTGTGACTTTTGAAATGAACCATTGCAAATTCAAGATGTTAATTTTGATTCACAGAATTACTTCTTTAAGAATTTACATTCTTCTTTCATTTGTGTTACAAGCAAAATTTAAACCCAAGTTTATTTCCTTCCAGTTATACTTGTTATCTGGATTCCAAGATTTGTTGCAGTAGAAAATGTGCACTTGGCTCTGTTTTGGGATTTATTTTGATGTATAACAAAACCAAAATTGGAGGTACCAGATCCCTCAAGAGGGACAAAGATAAGGAATTACTCCTTGGTGTAAGGCAAAAAAAAATGTTTATTCCTATTGAGTTTCAGGGATTAGCACACATAGCAGGACTCTTGAATTCTCTCTAGTGTTTGCACAAAAAAAGTCCCATATAGCAAGAGGTAAAACTCTTTCTACTCCAAGAACCACATTAGAGAGCCCAGTTAAACATTCCTTGACACGGTCGAACCTTGGCTTTCTTCTGAAGCATAAGCATGACCGTGTTTAGGCTGGTCCTTTAGTCAGATGATTGGTGTGCAGCACACAAACCTCTGATCTGTTCAAGGGCACTGCTGAGGCACAGCCACGCTGGGTGACTGCTGCCCTCAACAAACAGCTCCTCTTCCCACTTGAAGGCAAGAGGCACACTCGAAGGGTAACGTGCTGAAAAGCCATTTTCTTTCAGTTCACTCCAGCTGCTATTCTATATTTTTCTTCCCTCTCCTCAACATGCACCCATGTCAAAAGAAATTACCCTTTTTTTTTTTTTACTCTGAGTGGCTTCTGATTGTTCTCATGCATATGTTAGACTTTAACATCAGAAATGTTTGCTTTCTTTCTCCCAGTTTAAACATTAAGGGTTTTCTTCCTGCTTCTGAACTACAAAAAATAAATAGTAATGAATATCAATTATACTGTAGTTACTGATGAGAGCTGTCTAAACAGCCAGACGAGTTATAAACAGCCAGTGATGACAGACTCCCATATGTTAAACTTCCCATTACTGTGCAAGAAAACCTTATAATCACCTTAATTATAGAACCAGTGATTTTTCCCCTCAGTGGCCATGTAACACAAGCAAGTGCACAAGCAGAACTCCTGTTCTGCAGTGCACTACTGTCTGCAGCAAAGGCCAGCTCATGCACATATTGCCAAGCATTTCTGCAAACAGATCAAGTTGCCAAGCACGCAGCTAACCTGAATGGTCTCAGAAGCAGCAAAGAAAGCAAACTTTACCTTGTGTGTTTTGCTGAAATATCTTGTTCAGATCCAAAGAGGAAGCTCTGGAATGTGATTTTTGAGGCCTTGGAGGTGGAGTAGGGGGCTCTTCTCCCTTTTTCATAGCATCTTCTATTGATGTGCTAGAATAAGACCTAAGGAAAAACATGTTGGGGAAAAGCAGAAAATATTATATTTAAAAAATTAATTTTAAACAATTATAGTGAATAGTACCTAAAAATACACTGAGTAGAAGTCAGATTCATGGTGGAAATTCCTTGCCCTAATGACTAAGAGTTCCCTCTTATAACAACACAGATTTATTTGGCAACAGAGGGACCTAAGCATGTGGAGAAAGGAATGAGTCATGCTTACAGGGCTAGTATTTTTTAAGGCTTTTTGTAACACAGCTTGAGGCCTTCTTATGTAACTTTGCCAGCAGGATAATTGTAGCAACTATTTTGATTAAACCAAAGTAAAATTCCCCATATACACCCCTTGGAGTTCCTGTTGCCTTTCCCAACTGCAGGGGTAATGTTTATACAGGTATAGATTCAACCGACCTCTTGCTAGTACACATTTCGCAATTGTAATATTCTCACTGGTAGAATACATTTTTAACTATTAGAATAAATTTTCCATAGGAAACTATCACCAAATTCCACAAAATCCAGAAAAATAGAATGGCTCCAAAGTCACTACAACTGGTCAAATACATGTCTCAGTACCTCTTTCCAAGCCCTCTCACAGCACATTAATCCCAATGTGGTGTGGTACATTTGCAAAGAATTTTGATTTTCATGAATACTGTTCAGTTTTTTCAGCTGTTGTAGTTATGAGTTTAGAAAAACCAAGACCAAGCAAGACCAAGATTCTGTTCAAAACGAGCACTGGCAACATGAGATGTTAGACTTACTGGACTTACTGTAACACATTCTGCATGTCAGGGCAAGACCAAAAGCACATTTGAGTAAAACAGAAATAACTCCCACTAATGGCAAATGGACCTTTGGACCTTTTTTTTTTTTTTTTGCCAAACAAGTTCCTAAAACCCAGTGCCAGCTATCCAATTAAGAGCATATTGAGCAACATCCTATTACTCTCACTCTCCAGGTCCCACTTTGTCCATTTATGAGCCACTTTGCACAACCACTCATAAAAAAGCTAATGGAGATTCTCTGTCTCCCTGCTTTACCTCATACAACTTCGCAGGACTCCTAGGTTTTTCCACTCCATTATTAATTCCATATAAAATCACATTTTTATTCCTTTTAATCCAACATCTTCATTCAAATCCCATTCACGATCTTCTTTAGGGAGAAGTTCATCAGGATTTGGTATTCCTGCTTCCCCAGTTTTCTTATCTATCTTCTCAACTTTTCTCCTACTCAGTCCTTCCTTTACTTCTTCTAGAACTACTCTTTTTTTCTTCATACAGAAACATATTTCTAACCAAACTTATGTATCTCCTCCAGCTAGGTTTATATGTCATCATCACAGATTTAATAATACTATGCATAGCATTTGGATTGTTACAATGAGATGCACCATCCTGTTTCCAAGTCAATAAATCACAGTTAGTAAACAGTACACGCACATAGACAGCTTTCCCAGCAGTCTCACAGTTTTTCTTAAAGCAGCCTGAATCACTGATTTACTCCATCCTCTTGTTCTGGTTCTGCTAGAGACAAGACTTCCTGATTTGCTTCTTTCTCTAATAGGACTGTCAGAGTCCTCCTCACCCTCTGAGTCAGAATTTTTTGGACCCACCAGAGGAGCCACCAACAATTCTACTTGTTTATCATCACCACCAATTTTACCAGATTTATTTTTCACACCACAAATTCTTACACTGTTTTTATTTGTTTTCTCAGTTACTGAATATATTCCACTCTGGTTTTGAAGTTCATTAGTACACATTTTTTTCCTAACATCCGAATCATTCTTTAAAGAGAAAAATAATTTCCCCTATTGTATTTCATTCCATTTCCAGCAAGCACGGCAGGTCCAAGTTCAAGGATGTGCTCAGGCATCTTTATTGTCAACTTCTGCACTGAAGCAGTGACATACAGTCAGATGTGAGAGATGACATACAGCCACATGTGACAGAGTAGTTACATTCAAGTGACTTTTTTTTAAACTTGTTTAAGCATTTGGTGTTCTGTGTATTTGTGCACATTTTTTCATATTTGCAATTTAGTAACACAGCAAGAAAATTTAAAACTCTGCAGAAACTAAAAAGCTTTGGCTAGAAGCAGAAAAAAAGCACACAAGCCAGTTCAGCCTTCCCACTTATAGGTCCTAAGAACAGAGGATTTCAATCTTCAATCACCATGCTTATAGCTGATCCTCTCTTACTAGCAGGCTTTGACAAACCTGTAAGCAGACAGCTTCTGATTATACTCTCATTACCCAAGGAAAAAAAAACCCAAGCAGAGTCCTCTAACTAGCACCAAAACCAAAAACTTTAAAGTGAATTCACAATATGACTATACACCAGTAGGTGACAACCAACTCAAGAGGTAATCCATTTATATAGAATATTTTCTGGCAGAGGTTTCCCTTTTCTTTCAAACATCCAAATTCAGCAGATGTCACTTCTAGCACACAACAGTCCTGAAGTCCTTCCTCACACACCAACCAACCCCAGCCAAGCACACGGATGCCAATAAAGGGATTCACTCACCCACACCTGAGAGCTGAGCTACTGCTGCTGTTTCTGTGGGAATGTGCAGTGCTCCCCTCCATTTGAAATCTCCGTGCAGGCAGCAAGGGCACAGAATTGCTGAGGATGTTCCCTGCAATGGGGTGTCCTGCCACAACACCCCTGGGGCTGGGCTGGAGGCAGTCACCACCCTGGCAAGGCAGCAGGGCTGGGCAGACAGGCAAAACTTCCAGCACCTTATGACCAGAGATCATGGGGCCCCAGTGCAGTATTTATGTAGGGTCTATAGCTTACAGATTCCTCCTGGTAAATCTGTCTGATCTGAGCTGTACTTCCAGTACAACACCAATTAAAAAAAAAAAAAAATCCAACACCAGTTCAGATGCCTTGTATCTAACACTAGAGGAACATATGCCTTTTCCTGAAACAGGAATGAAAGCAGTACCTGGATCGTGGTCTGGCTCTGAATGCATTAGGTTCTTGAGCAGCTGGAATAGAAAAGAGAAAAGAACCACTAAAACATCATATTTTAAATAAATGTCTTTAGCTACAGAATCAGTGACCATTAAACATGTGAGTGTTGCAAATGTGGATGTGAGAGTATACTCATCTCACATGAGGAATGGGGATTGATTTTCATTTCTCCTTCCCCTTTGTTTTTGCCCTAAGAATTCAAAAGCCAACATATAGTGAGAGCTTCACCTTTTTAATTTGGTTACCCGAACACAGGAAGAACAACAGGTCTGATAGTCCTGATCTGTAGTCATGGATGTAGTTGTGATAAAGCAATGTAAGGAACAACAGAAACTTTTTCTAGAAAACATCTTCTTCTTAATCCAAGTATCTATTACTTGTCCTGCTTCCAAAAGCACGAAGGTTTATGTCCTTCCTAAATAATTTTAACTAATTAGTATAAATGTACATCACCCATTACACGTCATGTTGAGACTGTTTTGACCTTGGGAAGGAAAGGTATTTGAAGGAAGAAAGTTTTAAGTCTAAATGTTGACCAAACACATTTCCATTAATGTAAAAATGGGTTTCTATTATTTGGATGAATTCCAAATATCCTGCCACATGCAGGTTTTATGTGATAGGAAAACAACAGTGTTGAATTATCATCTCTGGGTAATTCCTCAAGCTGTTCCTTAGTTTACATTGTCTTTTCTGTTACTCTCCTTACTAGAATCAGATAATTTTGAGAAAACATATCTGCATGATTGCTTTCAAATTCATCCCACTGAGATATCCTCAAGGTATTACAGCAGCATCAATGATCCCAATACATATACAAAGTGAATCCTTGTATATTTTCCCAGTCTACTAATCAAGGTACAACACTCAAAAGAAACAAGTAGGTTGGGGAAAAAATAATTGTCAGAATTTCTAGCTGCCTTCAGATATATGCCTACTTTCAAGTCAGACATTTATCACCAGCTGCTACAGAGCATTTATCATCAGCTACCACAGAGCATTACCTGAGAATACAACAGATCCTCCCAACCACAGAGCAGGAGCTGCTGGTGGCAGCAGCTGGCAAATGCTGAGTGTTTAATGCCTTGCACCGTGGTACTGCACAGACCCGCCATAGGAGGCTTTAGGCTCACAGAAAACAAGTAGCAGCATATGGCACATGTACAGCCACACACTAGCTCTTCATAAAATAAAATGCTTTTAGGATCATGCAGAGCTAGTTGGTGTTTTGGATAGAATAAACCCCACTGCAGCTGGAAGTGACCACCTATAAAACAAGTTCTAGTAGATTGTCATCACCAAACTGGTTTGTTCCAGATTTCTCTGCAGCAAACTCTTCCTAGCAACTAAAGAAGGGAGAGGGAATTAATATTAAAATATGCGGTGGTGATAATCCTCCTCCCTCTCTCTGTGTCAAACTCCCAGAGAATACAACTTCAGACACTGCTTCCCTACAGCCATATGACCCAATTTTCCAATGCTGAAATTGCTGATTATTAAATTACATGCACAATTATTAAATATGCCACTTAGAAATAGGAAGTATAAATCCTTTCCAAGCTAAACCATGTTTAAGAATCTTCAAATTTTCCTTTTCTTATAGAGATTGCAATTCTATTCATACTTCTTTTAGAAAGCCTTTCATATAAAAAACCTGTAGGTAAAACTGACATTCAAACTCTCCAAGGACATCCTGTTGAGGTAAACAGGAAAGCACATAAGGAAGAGAGAATTCCAAAATGACTACTAATAAAAAATGATAGCAATAGAATGCTACTGCCAAGGATTTTCTTCTTAAGCTTTTGAAAAACTAGGAAATTCAAGGCTACAATTACAGAATACCCAGACTTAGCTTTCCTTTCAAAAGAAGTAGTATAATACAAAAAATACTATGAAGCAGGTATTTCATTATTAGGCCATACAAATAACTGTGGCAGGATTTCCAAGAAATGTGCAGCTATTTTGGTACGTTCAATCTGTGCACACTTCATGTCTGAGGTTCGGGTTTATACACACAGATGACAAAATCATTCAAGATGATACAAAACTATTTATCCAGTTTATGAGTTTTCCATAGTTCTACTGCTACGGTTACACAAGCCTAACTTTGCTGAAATGGATAAGTTAAACCTGTTGAGTAAATAATTTACATTGATTATTCAAAAGTTTGTATGATTCCTGGAGTAGTGGAGCCTGACGGAGTGAGAAGCTTGGTCTGCAGTAATTACAGAGGGTCTGAAAGTTCCTGTTTTGGGTGTTGAGCTGCTCCTACAGGCCTCTTGCAAGAAAACTTCATTTTAACATTCCAAAGGATGCTGGTTTGGTAACTTTTGACTGTAGCCTAACATCTTGCACTCAACAGCTGCCTCCTTATTTTACAGGCTTAAGATTGGGTGGAAAATTGTCCTGAAAAAGGTGAAAGGCTGAAAAAAAAAAAAACCAAAGCATTCCCCACTAGTCAACATCAACCTCTGATTCATCTTTTATTGGTCATCTAGGGAGAAATGTACAAGTTAAATACTTGGAAGTTTGGCCCTCAATTCTTTCAAAGGCTAAGGTCAACAATGATCCTGCACTTAAGAGTCTAAATAAACTGGCCAGATATAAAGCTTATAAAGTTCTTACTGATTTCAAATTTCTACAGTATCTGATGGCAGAGAAAACTTTCACAGATTATCATCTTTCCTGAGTTTACATAAACAGCCTAAATGAATAACCAAAGAAGCATGTAAAATTTCTCCCCCTTCATCCCAAATGAGTTTTCATGCTGGAGGTTAATGATTACAATGACCTTTCAGAATGGTGACTGGTTCTGAAAAACCACTCAATTACTGTGCTGCATCTACTCCACTGGATAGATAAACATTTTTACTTTTCACATCAGTTGTAGCATGCAACCTGAGAATGTGCTGGCTCAAATCCTCAATGTGCAGCACAGCAAGAGTGGAACCCCTGCAGGGGACAGGAGCCATGATGATGGAGTGAAATTCTGTCACTGTCTCCCTTGGTATACAAACACAGCAACACTGCTGGAGGAGCACAGCAGCATGGGAAGACCTTCCTGACCAGGAGATGAAAGACACAGGGGAAGGAGATGTGTAGGTGACAGTAAGTTTTTTTTCCTAAATGTACTAAAGACATAATTGCTGAACTGAAAGTAAAACTCCCCTGTGCTCCTGGGCAAAACCAGGGGGAAGGAGAACGGAACAGAAAGTCGTGCAACCACCCTCCCCTTTCCCTGTGAGGGATGTGCAAGAGTGTCTGTGTGTGTGTAAAGGAGAAGCAGCAATCTTTTGAGAATAGGAGCTCAAGATAGCAAATCTGGCAGCTGCCAAGTGTTTGGGAAGAAGCCAGGAAAAAAGATTTGGGAAATGATGCATGCAGCTGTTGAGCAGCCATGAATAAATCGAGCTATAAGACAAAACTGCTGTGATAGACATGTGGGGTCCAGTTTCTTAATCAAGGATATCTTCATGAGTAAAAACACTAATGTAAAAGGAAGAGAAAGCAAGATTTTAGCTTGACTGTGACCAGGGAGGGCTTACAAAAACTCTTACCACTGTAGAAAGAGATTAACAAAGAGGAAGGCAAGGGAGGTCTGATGAACTGAACTGAATGCAGGGGAAGTTTCTGGAGCAAATAAGTAATTTTGACATATGCTGTTCCAAAAATAACATTTTCCAGAATGATAGAAACAAGGAGTGTATGTTGGAGCTGGAGACAGAAAAATCGGGAGTGGTTTCAACAAAGAAACAAGCCTGAGTCAAAAGCTTGGGTCAGCGTCTTAAGTGCCTCCAAGGTCTGTGTTTCCAAAAGGCTCTCTGTCCTGTGACTCCTTGACACAAAATAGAAAAGTTGAGCTTTCACAAAGAAACAGGCCATTTCAGAATAGTTACCAAAACATTACATAGTTATTCTATACTTCAGATGAGGTTTTACCAAGAGGTACATTATCCACGCTCTTGCATCTTGCTTATAGCACAGAACTTCAAAATCTTTAAAATGGCTTAAAACATTTGCAACACAGGAAGAACCCATAAACTAACAATGAAGGAAAGAAAGGAAGAAAACCTTTTGATCGCCTGAAGAGCTAATTAACGTTTATCTTACAAACAGTAGTCATTATGAGGTAAAAGCTAGTATCAGTAGGAAAATAATACAAGAGCAAAAGGTTCTTTCAAAATTAATCTAGTTACACTAATTTAGGCTTACTGTGATATAGAAACACTTGATCAAAATTCTCATGCAAGTAACACATGGCATTTTTTTTTCCTTACCTGCTTTCACAGTCAAGTGCTGAAATTCCTTTGGTATAGTTTTGAGAGTAGTGCTTACTTTAAGAGCTTAAGGAAAAAAAAAAAAGATAATTACTTTAAGTATGTGTGGGTATAATCTAGAAGTATCAGGCCTGAGAAATGAACACCTAAACTGGTATTAGACATCTTATAATGCCAAACATACTTGAAAAGTAGCCAAATACTCTCAGAAAACTGAAGCACTCAAGTAACAATTTCCAAGTGCACAAAAGTCAAGAAGAGAAAGAAAGACCTATGCTCAAATTGCCAAACACTCTCCAATTTTGAGAATTTGTGGGGTGGAGTGGTTATTCCCCTTCCACATTCCCCTACACATCCTTTATAATGGAGCTCTTAAATCCCCACAGTGTATTTGATGCACTGTAAGACTCAGTGTTAAATGACTACTTGGAATGAAATCTCTCCTCCTCTAGGATAAACCTGCTTCAGCAAGAAGGTTGAACCAGATGTCCCTTCCAACCTTAACAGCTCCATGATCTGCCTTTATCAAACAAAATATGTAGGAAAAGTTTTGGGTCTTGTAACCCAGTTCAGTTTACATTATTTTCCAAATTTAACTACATTATAACCTAAGTGAAGTTAATGTACTTAAATACTTTTGAAAATGCAGGCAAATTTGCTTCTACTGTCCTGAACTGCAGGTTCTTGACTTCTGGGGAGATCCCCTCAGTCAGGAGAGCAATCTGCTCTCATGTTTGTCCAATAGTAATAAAAGGTAGAACAAAAGTATTTGTTCTTTGGCTGAAAAGGTAGCAATCTGTGTCATAAATACAGCCTGTCTTCATCCCTGAAGGAGGACTGCATGTCTCAAAACAGGTTCCCATGTGACTTAACACGTCAGCTACAAAAATCAAAGCACAACTTCGTCATCTAAACAGGGAAAAAATATTCCCTTAGTAAAAAGTAAATCTTCCCTAGACATTTTAAAGCAATAACCTTCAAGGTTCAAGTCCTTCACTGGTTCATTTTACATTTTACAACAAAACAAACCTTGTCAATAAAACACTCATTTCTTGGAATATGCTGACGTGTGAAAATGTTTTACAAACACACGTCAACTCTTGACAAACTTTCTTTGAAAAAGGGACACTGGGAATCTGTCAAACCCTGTCACACCTGAGTGTGGAAGGTGAATCAGGAATGTGGACTACCTGGTCTCACAGCTCTGATGCAATATTAAAGTGTGGACATCTGGGAGGCCAAGATATTTTTTATTTTAATTAATACATAATCTGCAGCTCTGTTCTGTTTCTACAACAGAGGGACAGCAAGTAAGAATTGGGAAAAGGGAATATAAAAGGGAATGAATGGCTGTGTGATGATCCAGTGCCAATTCTGGCAGCCATAGAAGCTATTGCAGCAAAAAAAGAGAAAGATCACTTCAACTTCACATGACTCCCTGCTGATGGATGTCAAAAGAAATGAATGAATCTAGTCTTTTCAGTCCAATTTGACCAAAGTTTTTGTTTTGCAAGAAAATACAGGGATTTTTTTTTCAACTAGGAGTAAAAACTGATTTTGAAGTGTTGGTTTTTCTTGCAAAAATGGAAATTGAAAATTCGGCACAGTGTAATTTTACTCTCAAAAACTTCCTGACAACAATTTAAATTTTAAGTAAGAAGCACATTATTAATTGCCTTAGGGCGAGACATATTTTAGAAGGTACATTTCATATCATTCACATATGATAGAACTAATTTTGAAGCAAACTCATTCATTTGTCTTCAACTCAGCTGATGTGAGTTGGCTCTTTAAATCTTTAGCAACACACAGCCAGCTTAGAAATTAAACACATCATTGCTTCTGTCAGCAAATATAGGGGCTTACTAAAAACACATAATTTAAACCCTAATTGAAAAAAAAAGTTATTTATTTGAATACCTTGTTTGTCATCTTTCTTTCCATCTTGTAACAGGGCAGAGTTATCAGGTACCTCTTCAGTTGATGACTTCTAAAGAAAGAAAATTTGTTAATTACACTGATTGTTACAGCTCATACCTTTCCACAGTCAAATATTTCAGAATACAGATCGACACAAATAATGGCCACACTTGCTCATGCAGCACAATTTCTTTGTTAGATAAAGAAGAATAGAGGACCTGTAGAAAGACAATACAACTCTGCTTTTCAAGGTACAGCAGTTCCACCCCTGAAATCAGTTAGAGGAGCATTTCAACAGTGAATGGCTGCAGGAGATAAGGACTATATGTAAAGAGAGGCTTCCCCCAACAGAGCCATATGTAACACCTGTGCTAGGAGAGATGAAAGCTTCTCCAGGCTCCATGAGAAAAGTCTCTCTAACCAAAACTCCAGCTGTACTGCAGAGCCTGGTGGGGATGCTTTAAAGGCTCCTGGCTGATGTGGCTGATCCTTCAACTACTCTTTTATTTCAACATGCAGCCACAGAGATGGGAAAAGCCAATTTCATTAGCAAGTCTACTGGAGGGCCCATTCAGGCCTTTGATAGGAAAACAGGGAATTTCTCCCCAGTCTTATTCCTTAATTTTCTATTATTTCAGCAGCAACTTATAGGCATTTATTGTTCTTGGAGCTCCTGCTGGAACAAATTCTACCTCCATTATGTGTAAGAACAAGAATACACTCTGCAACCAAATAAAACATTCAAGCAAATGTCAGAAACCCTAAACTTCTCTAAATATTAAGTGATGCTGTTTTTTTCCCAAGGAGCATGGAAGAGGTTTGACCTGAAAATGCCCTAAAATAAATTTGGCCTAAACAAATGAATTGAGAAACTTAGATTTCATAGACATTTTTAAAAGACCACAAAAATCTCAAGTCAGTAGTTCAAAAAGGAAAACTCCACAGTAAAGGTCTGTGGGATTTGTTTTATAAAGTTTCTGAGGAATGGGATACCTGAGGAATGGGATAACCTTTTCTGGAAAGCAATGCAGCAAAAATACGGCTTGAGGACTCTGAAAATGTATGAACAAAACATTTCACATCCACAGCTAGCCATACACTCAAGTGAAGAACAGGAGACCACAGACCTAACTCAATGCATGCTTTAATTTATGGAATGACTTTCAGAGATTTCAATGAACTGTGAGCATGACATTTCTAAAGGGAGCCCAGGGGAACCCCAGCCAGTCATTTTATGCATGTTTTAACTTTAAGATTTTGGCAGTGAGAAAACTTGCAGAAAAAAGCAAAGGAGAGTGGGAGACAAAAACTTAATAAAATAAAACCTGTGAAGACAAAGCTTCCTCGGTAAACAAAAATCAGTCACCCATGTCATTCCCAAGCATAATATCAGCAGCCTTGGTGCATTTTTCAAGTTTAACAAAGCCTAGCATGCAGGTGACGTGTCTCCTGCCATTATTTTCTTTATGAATGCATTCAGGAACTGTTTCTATTTTATTGCAGTATTGTAGTTCAGCAGTCACAGTAAAAACAGGCATTTGAAATTAAATTAAATATCCTGAATGGATGATAGGTGGAAATTTAAAAAGACGTGGAGGTAAAGCATAACAGATTGCATTGATAATATAATATTTTTAATGTAGTGATCAAGTATCTAAAGTATAAATCCTCAACTAGCCAAGATACAAATGAAATTACAACAGTGAATTGCTGCACTTCCCACTGAAGGAGATGAATGGAAGATGAATTATTGACCTCCCAAGTGATACTCATTCAGTGCATTAATTCTGAATGTAAAAACATGAGTTGAACAAAAAAAATCAAGTCAAAATGATTCTCAAATCACTTTTGAGGAGATTTTAAAGTCCATAACCTTGGACAATGTAAACTGAAGCTTTTTAATTATTTGTATGAAAGATACATGATTATGCATTTGTTTACATTTCAAATATAATTTAACTCTATATTATACCTATATCTTCTTCTTCCATATTTTAGGTTGCAAGCCACGCAAAATAAGGTCACAAGCAAGGGATTAGGTGATTCTGGTGAAGGACTGCCCACACTGCCAACATACCAGCACCCTGCACTACCAGATCCACAGTGCTGCTCCCAAAGCCCAGAGTGACTGCTGTGCTTTGGCCAAGCTGCTGTAGGATGAGCAACACCTCCCAGGGATACAACATGAATTTTAACAGCTCCAGAAGATACACTGGCTGCAGCGTTGCCCAAAGTGAACACTGTACTCCACAGAAGCTGAGGAGACTCTGTTTGGTGGTACCACTGCCAAGATGGATGTGATGAGGAAGCAGGTGGGTTCTGACCCAGGGACTCCCCAGAGCAAGGCATTGGGAGGAAATAGCTGGAGAACAGCCTTGCTGAGCTGCCATGACATACCATTATTTTTAAACTTGGAAGACTGTCAGAAGGGCCAGTTCCTGCAGTCAGTCTGCCACTTGATTAACCACCTTAACACTAAACCTTTAAATCCCACAGCACATATATTGAGAGTTGCAATATTCAGGCACAACTCAGTGGCCATGACTAGTTCAGTTCTAAGGGATCTTTAAAAGTTTGGGATTTTAACCTCAGTGTTAAACTCTTCTCCTTAATTCAGTTTTGCTTGCAGCAGACTTCTTGGAATCATACAAGGGTTGGGGGTTTGGAAGGGACCTCTGGAGATCTAGTCCAAAGCTCCTGTTCCATCCATACTGTGTCCAGTTGTGGGCCCCTCACTAGAAGAAAGGTGTGTTCAAAGAAGAGCAATGATGCTGGTGAAGGGTCCAGAGCACAAAAGGAGTGCCTGAGGGAGTTGGAGTTGTTTATCCTGGAGAAAAGGATGCTCAGGGGTATATGAAAGATATATCAAGTGTCTGAAAGAAGGCAGTGCTGGGCTAACAGTTGGAATCGATGATCTTGCAAGCCTTTTCCAAACTACGTTATTTTATGATTCTAATTCTGTGCTGAAGCCTTGTATTTTCAACCAATTCAGACTGAGCAGATACTTCACCTCAACACGGTCCATGTGTCCCACTGCCCCTCCTGCAGCAGCCCTGAAGGACACCAACAGGGAGAGCCTGCACATTCTCTGCACATTCCAGCAACTCACAAATCCTCAGTGATAACCATGAACTCTGTTATGTGGGAACATCTCTTGAAAAGCCTGTCAGCCCTTTCCATACACAGAAGAAATGGCTGAGCTGAGAGTTTGAGATAGCTTAATGAGAAGCTTAGAGATTGCTGAAGTCCTCTCAGAGACTCACAGTCCTATTGCTCACATAGCACAGTCTGTGCAGCTGGGCTGGTCCAGCCCCCTCCCCTCTGTAAGGTAAGGACCCAGCCTACACCTTCTCACCTCCGTCCGACTGAAGTCCCGACTCTGCTGACTGCTTGGCAATGGCTCAGAGTAAGAATCAAATAGTGCACAGTCATGCATGGGCTTCAAACAAGCTGCAGGGGAGAGAAAAAAAGAAAAAAGTTAAAAAAAAAAAAAAAAACAACCAAAAATCCTAAAAACCCAGAGCCAAACACAGAGACACACCAAGTCTTCTTATACTTCTTAGAAACCTGTTCTAGCATAGTTTTGCCCTTCATTTCTACATCTCACCTAATGGATGACAAACACCATGAAGAAAATCTTTCTATCTTGCATCTTAAGTAATTCGGTGTCATGAAAGGGATAGCTTGTGTAATTTCTGCTGTAGAAATAATCGTGAAATTTGGAAGAAATCTTTTCTTCTCCCAGTCCAATATCAATTTAATTGATCTTATAGTTTATACCTTGTTCTCTCACAATGTTAAAGGTATTTATGTTACCTTGAGCTGCAATTTTGACTGTTTCAATACTGAAAAGTATAGTGGAATCTACATTATACTCTAAAATTGAAGGCCAGCAAAAAGCAAAGCACTAAGCACTGTGGGTGCTGTAGTATGTACCACCTTCAACTAAACAACATTGAAAGCAAGAGGGAAAAAGAAAAAAGACATATCTAACTTCTCAAAGGAATTTTGACAACAAGCTAATTTCTATCCCACAAGCTCGGGTCCTTCTGCTGGTATCCCTCTGGGATTAGGTCCTCTGAGATAAATCTCTCTTATGAGCTGGAAAACAACTTCTTTTTAAAGATCAATATATTAAAAGGCAGAACAACCACATTTCTAGTTTTTGGCTCGCATTTATTTTATCTCAATAAATTTAGCTCTTGAAAATCTGTCTTAATTTACAGTACAGTGGGTTACACACAGGGCAAATAGCTTTTGAGATTCTGCAAATCAGTTTTAATAAAAAGTTTCCAAAAAGAAGGTGGTGGGTCAAATTGCCAATGGAGCTGTGCCAGAATAGCATTTGGACCAGTTGTGCTTCTAGTTTACAGTACAAGTTATAAAACTAACAAGATTGATGCATTCTTAAATGCTTTTTTGCGCCCAGTCATTTTATTTGAAGCTTTAACAGCACTCTTATCAGATGCAAATACTTCAATTGAACCAAATTATGCCTCATTCTGAAACTAATACAGCAACCTAATAAAAACCAGTTTCTAGTATTCTTCTTCGGGGTCCTAAGAAGCCAAAAAATTTTTGAAAAAAAATTCTAAATTTCACAGAAATCAAATTATGAAAACATGAAAACACAAGATTTCTCTTGAAAACTGCTTTTGACATTTTAGGTAATTGTATGAGACACTTACAAATTTGTCAATGCTTTTATTTCAGAAGTAATACAACCAGGGCTCTACACTTTTCTGTGATTCACAGGTTTATAGTGTGTTAAGATGTTCTGCTTTTATTAATGCAAGTTTTTGTATAAAGATAAAATAATCATAAAAATAATCTGTCTCTAAAAAAGACAGATTTATGAATCCTGACCAGAAAGCAGAATGAGCAGGAGATATTTTCAGACCCTCAGATTAACCAGAATTAGCTCATTAGCTGAGGTATTTAAGGACCCAAAAGAAACAATTAGTCCTTTCACCTCTTCCATGTAGATTTGCTTGGAATGCTTGGTTTCATGCAACAGCATGAAACAATCATCTAAGAAAATGGTAGAACTAAGTGCTGAAAGGGACAAATAGGGAAAAAGAGGAGCCCCAGGGAACAAATGCAGCTTACCATCCTATTTTTCCCATTGACAAAATGATTCCCTGCTACTAGAGATAGTTATTTCCGTTGCAGTTTTACCCAAAAAGGTTCAATGTGAAGACACATCAATGAGAACCTGCATGGATGAGTTTACAAGCCAATTTATCATGAGACCAGGCATGAAAGTAGTGAACAAAGTGGTGGTCCTGGAGGGAAAAACGGTAGTTATAATTATGACAGGGGAATGTAATTAGAGAAAGTGATGAACATTTCAAGTGCATATTTTCCAGGAACTATTGCTTTGGACATGAATATAGTGGATTACAGGGAACACGACTCCGTCAGAAATTATTTCACAAATGTGATATGGGGTCAACATTTAATTTTCCTAACTGCAGCTTGATTTGTTCTTTTCTTGCCTTTTAATATATTCAGTGTCATCAAATTTAATGGAGATTTTATTAGGTCTTAAATATTATCCTTTAGCACTATAATTATCATCTGTGATTAATCCTTCTTGCCCTCAAGAGTCATGCACATTTTTTTAGATATAACAGTATATATTTCAACATTAATTTATAATTAACAGAGACATAACTGAAGAGAACAAATGAAAGGGCAGGTCTTTCACTGCACATTGTTACTGAAGTATGTTATATTTTGGATTAATTCATCCTCGTGCTACAAAAATTGTTGTAATCCTCCTGTCATTAATGCAAACTACCCACAGACGAACTTGTGGATTACATAAAATAAATTACAAAAAAATTCAACCTTTGATATAACCAGTATCTCCACCTAAAAAAATACACTAGCACATTAAGGTATAATGCAGTCCAGTATCATTTTTACCAAATCCTCAAGAGATAGATACTTTAAGAAAAAAATCATCAAAATAATTAAAAGCTATATCATAGATTCACAGACTGGTTTGGACTGGAAGAGATTTTAAAGATAATCTAGTTCCAATCTCCCTTACCATGGGCAAGAACACCTCCCACTAGACCAGGTTGCTCTGTGCCTTATTCAACCTGGCCTTGAACACTTACAGGGGTGGAGCATCCACAGCCACTCTGTTCCAGTGACTCACTGTCCTCACAGTAAACAGCCTCTTCCTAAAGTCTAACATAAACCTGTCCTCTGTCAGTTTAAAGCCACTGCTGGATTCCCTTTGCTTTACAGGTATTCATCTGCCTCCTTACCTGTCCTGACACCTGAAGCACAGTGGGGCAAAGGGGCAGACATGAAGAGGCAGGTAACTGCTCCACTTTGCATCCCTATCTCTATGCTTTGGTATTTTACTTCTTCAGCAATCACCTCATAACCACAATTAAAAACACGTGCCTTAAATGCAGCAGGAGATACACACATTACACACACGTTGGGATTTCTGAGATGGCTGCAGGGACATGGCTTGCCACAGGAACTTTACCTGCTTGCAGGTACTCTGGCAGCAGTGTTTCTGGCAGTGTCTCAGGCAGCTGGTAACCATTCTTCCTTGCAACCACAAGGTGGAAAGCGGCACAAAACTCAGGGAGTGTCAGCGCCCCATCACAATCCACATCACTCAGCTCCCTGTGGATAAAACAGGCACACGTTTTCCAAGGTGTTACCTCAAAGAAACATATGTGTGCCATCAGGGGGGAGACAAAAACGCAACTCTGAGAAGGGATATTTTAACACAAGACAAGCATCTCTGCCTTGTACACTTGATGCTGACTTGCACATTTGGCTCAGGGAAGATGAAGAAAGTCGATTTTCTGAAACTGACTTGCCGCTTTTTTATTTTTCAGTAAAGTACATTTCTTTAATACATTATGCCATTGAGTATGACGGTATGTGTATATTAGAATGTGAAATACATAATCTATATTTATAGACTCATAGGGTGGATGGTGCTAGAAGAGACTTCAAAGATCATCTAACTTCTACTACCTCGCCATGGAAGGTCAGGGAACCTTCCACTAGACCAGGTTACTCAAAGCCCCATCCAGCCTGGCCATGAATATTTCCAGGGATGGGAAGTCCACAACCTCTCTAGGCAATCTGATCTAAGGCCTCATGACCCTTAGAAGAAGTCCTTCCTAATATCTAATCTAAACCTGCCCTCCTTTAGCTTACAGCCATTCCTCCTCGCCCTATCACTGCATGCCCTTGTGAAAAGTCCCTCTCCAGCTGTCTTGTGGACCCTGCTTAGGTGCTGGAAAGCTGCTAGAAGATCTCCCAGACCTTCTTCAGGCCAAACAGCCCCAAGTCTCTCAGCCTGTTTTCATAGGAGAGGTGTTCCAGCCCTGTGATTAACTTAGTGGGCCTCCTCTGGACTTGTTCCAACAGCTCCATGTTCTTCTGATGCTGGGGAGCCCAGAGCTGGATGCAGCATTCCAGATGGGGTCCTTGCCAGAGCAGAGCAGAGGTGCAGAATCCCTTCCCTTGCCCTGCTGGTCCCACCTCTTTCGATGCAGCTCAGAAGGTAGCTGACCTTCTGAGCAGCAATTAATTGCACATTGTTCCAAGGGTGGAATTAATCTTCCAATATTTGGAAGCACTTTTGGCTAATCCATGCAGGATCTTAAAACAGTTCAAGCAGAAAAAGGTAAATATGGACTTTAGCAATTATTACTTAGCGCCATTGACTAACCCTTAAAAACGAACAAAATTAACGCTCTTGACAAATTTAAATATTGTTGTTAACTTCTCACTAAACGGTTCTCTCTAATTCTAGCATGTTTCACAAACACTAAAGTTAAATTTCAGAAATTCAAGAATTCAATTTTATAAATTAATTCTTTGCAAAAATTGATTGATATTTTATCTTGGGCACATGGTCTAAAAGAAACATATAATTTCTTACTCTTTGAAAGTAACAAGCATTTCTCAAACTGCTGAGGTTATAGTGACAAGGACTGAAACATCTCATGTGTTTAACACTGCAGCACACCTTGATAAATCACATTTTTGCAAGTATCTGCTAGAAAGCAATACTTTCCGTGAAATTCTGCATAGAGAACAAGTTGTGTCAGCAACAGAAATAAAATCTGATTTGGTAACATATTAGGTTAATCCATTCTTTTTAAGTAATCTTAAATTTAAATTCCAACATTCAGTTCCCCCAGCACTATATTTCTTCAGTTGTTTTTTTTTTTTTTATTTTCACAACTGACAATCCGCTTTGAAAAGATTCCAGACATATCCTTTGACCCTGACAGATGTTTAGGCTCTTGCAAGCTTTTCCTCTCATCTCTGTTCATAAAAGCATATATAAAAACAAAATCACTATCAACATTTCTGATCCATGTTTAAAACTGTTTGTTCCTCCTGTCAGATATGCAATGATGACAATAAATTACAAAGCACCATGTCGTTGATGAAAATATAATAGAATTCTTGTCAAATTTTATCACGTACAGTTCCATCCGCAATTGTTTCTCAATAAGCTCATTAAAGGCAAGAGCGCTGGTTCATTAGAAAAGCACTAATGAATTATGTAGTTGTTTAATTAGGCCTCCTCTGACAGAACAGACAGAAACATAAAACCAGCAACACATGCAAAACATTCCAGAGGTGCTTCTCCTCTGCGTCAGTTCATGAAGAACGCCAGTTCTTTGAGCTAATGAAGCTGCTTACAATACACTTAAGAACAGCTCTCAGCTACCTCGCTGTTCAAACCTTCCCAGTCCTGCTGAGTAGGTGAACATCTCTCCAGAAAACAAGTGTGTCAGGAAGACCAATGACCACCCTGCTGCTTGAGCCTCTAAGTGATTCTGGAGATAAGAGCAATAATTATAATTGAAGATACTTTTAAAATTTAACAAGAACTCTTGAATTAAGCATATTTTAAAAGAACATGATAGGCATCTCCAACACTATTCCAGTACTCACCAGATGTGAGAAAGTTCCGGGATGGGCAGCTTTGATTTTGTGAAGAAATTCTTTGCTACAGAACCTGTTGGGAAAGCATGCCTCATCAACCATTGGAAACTAATTCTCCAAATTCTTCCCTTTGACCAGATCTGCCATGCCAGAAGCAGACAGTTAATTTATGTCTGAGAGATGCTCAGATTAATCAGATGCTACTATAGATGCTGGACCATTTGTCTCCTCCTGAGTAAATGACAGAGAAAGCCAGACAGAGCTGTTGACCTCATTTCTCCATTCCCTCCATATGGGGAAAAATAAATAAAGGGAAACCTACTTTAGTACTAGTAACTCTAACCTGCATAACAAGTATGTCACCAATGATGAAATAACAGACACCAACAGCCCTGCTTTACCCAGAAGTCATGTCTATGGCAATATAGTGCTTTGACATATGCACTGCTCTCCCAAGATGCTGCTTCAACCATGACTTTTCCCTGCAGTGAAAATTTTATGGACGGGGAAAAAAAGAAACTGTAGAAGATTCAGCTAGCACACAGCTCCTGTTTTACTGCAGGCATCCTCACTCACCCTGCCACAGCAGCCCTTCTCATACTTCCAGTTAACAAACACATTTCTTTACCATCTCACATGCACAGGCTGTCAGGGAAAGCCCTGGAAGCCCTTCCTGGTTACAGGCTTACAAATCATAAGGAAACAAAGCACAGACTTTTGGGACAATAATCCTTTTCCCATTGGGCAACAACCGGGGAAAGAACCGACACTGAAAAAAAAATTGTTCTTGAAAGTAAACGGCATGAAGGGGACTTAAATCAGGTGAAGAACTGCTGAATCACTATTCACTCTATCACAATTTCAGTTAGAAGCAGGTCATTTCTTTGAACTTTGAACTTGGCTAGATCAAAGCCTCCTGAACCCCAGTGATACAGCAGGTCTCATTACAACTGCCTCAGTTTAAAACCTGTGACATATTCCTTGCCAGACCAATTGTCTGTACATGGTCAAGTCTCCTCTCACAAGCAACCTTCTATTCAGGATGGAAATCCAAGTATAATCAGAGTCATCTCAGTATGCTCTTAACAATACTTTTACCATGTGTGCTCTCCAGGATTGTTTCCTAATTACCTAGAGGTCAAAATCTCAGTCCCTCAGAACCAAAAACCCTCAAGCTTGACCACCCAGGGCAGTTAACTGCATGCTTCACTGTCATCATATGAACACTGCCACAGTTCTGCTGGATAAGCCAGCACAACCCTCAGGGGTTTTTCAACTCAATATACACTGCAGGTGTGATCTACAAATAGAGCACAGCAAATGCAGAGAGCTTATTTTAATTTTTTTACCAAAATGCCAACATTTCTCCCTTAGATGTAATTATTTTTCTAAAATCAGGGTATTTAGGAGAAAATGGCCACAATATTGGTTTGAATAGTCTGCCTTAAAAAAAACAAAACCATAATCAATTCTTACAAATGTGCTGCCAGAGAGAAAAAATAATTTATTTACTTAACACTTTTCACCTCCCAGTCTGGTGCCCCTATTTGATGTGCACAGTGTTTGGTAAAAATTACCTGAAATAAAGGCATTGAGGTCAGGCTGCAGGGACCTGAACTGGTTAATGTAGTAATCTCGCTGCTCCTCTGTTATCCTCCAAGGGTCATCTGAATACTGGGTGCTGCTGTCCTGCTGCTCCCGCTCCACTGAAAGAGACTGAAGGGAGGGACACTGGCACCTGCCACAGGGAGGGCACCAGAAGGGCACTGGGAATCTCAAGAAACCAGACTCACACTCTTCTATGTAGCAGAGACAAATTTTCAGAAGACAAGAAGCAGAAATGGTCACACTGATGACTATCTTACTACTCACCTGATAAAACTGATGCTATGATTAGGTATCTTTACCCCTGCAATTAAAGGAAGCTTTACATGACCAACGCTCAAAGGAAAAGGAAATCTGGCTACTGCTGACCACTAGAAGGCCACGTCATACTTTATTACCTCTAGATTCATTTTGGGGGTCCATTTTTTCCTGCCATGCACACTGTACACCTCAAATGGATGGAGCCAGTAAAGGAACTTAAGCTGCATTTATGCAGCTTTGTGAATGAAAATTTATCTTTGCTATGAAACTACATATTTAATCTAGGAATGGTGGTGCAACTATGGAGATATTCAACGTCTGGACTCTCTGCTTACCCTAGTAACTCAGCACTCATGCTAAGTCAGGGAGACACACAAGCCTAGAGATCCCCTCAAACTTCTATCACTTGCCAAGGTTTAAGCAAAAATCCTCCTTTGGGTAAAGGAATATTCTGGAGGAGAAGGGTATTTAATCCAGTTATTTCTTTGCTCTGTCTTGGCTATCTGATTAACTTGTTTAAGGAAGGCCTCTACCTTTTGCAGGTGGGATGGAGGTCTCTACAAGAGGGCTGCCAGTACAGCTGGTGCCTTTGTTAAAATGGAATAAATGAGTATTCAGTATTTAAGCCTGCATGATAACAGTCTTAAAAAGGGAGGGTAAGAATGAACAACAATTAGGTGTGAAACCCTTTCTCTGACATATCTGTCTATTTCCTAAGAATCATGCAAAATACCAGTTCTGAAATACATCAAAAGATCCCTGAAACAGGCAACATCATAAAGTTGTAAATTAATTTTCATTTCAAAGTGCTACACAAATGCACCCAATTTCATTTCAAGTTAGCACAAATTATGTGACACTACCTGTAGATCTCTTCTGGAGGCTCAGGTGACATTTTATTGTGGGTGTGAGGTGCTAAGCACTCAGGAAAAGTCCGAGTCTTACTTATTTAGGAAAATCACTTGCTTAAGAGAGCTTTGCCCTCCCTCAGGGCAAATTAATTGTTTGCATAATAAATGCACAGCAGGCATACTGAAACACAGGAAAGATCTGTTTTCCCAACCAGCAGGAAAATATAAGACCCATTTTCATAAAAACAAACAAATACCCAGAAATTGATATATTTTGTTTAAGGTGCAATTTAACCAACTGGAGTGAAAAAACAAAATATGCAGAATGTTTGCCATAAATACTGTGCATGTATTACAAAAGGCAATCTAAATCTAGAAGGAATCTCTGTGAAATTTCATGTACTTGCAATGAAAGTGTTTTACTCGACTTACCTTCAGCAATTTAATTAATTTGATTATTTATTTATTGCAATTTCTCCATCCCATATGATTTCTTCCTCATATACCAAAAAAGCACACTTCAGTCTCTACTCTAAAAACACCATGGAGAATACTTTTCACTTTCAAAGTGAGAATTTTCTGCATTTTTTTTTAATTTCTCTGCCTTTGAAAAAAAAATTTTAGGTGTTTTAATTGTTTTGTTAGAAGTACTACTAAAGAAAAATATGCAATTCTTTACCCGGCTAGGAGTTGAACAGGTGAGTGCAGATTTGGCTCCATAATTCCCTGAAGATGGTCCATCTTGCTGGTGAGTAGAGTGTTTGACTTCATAAGGAGCTACATTAGACATTTAAAATTAAATATATAAAAGGATAATTTTAAAAATACTGCTAAGCTAAAGGAAATAATGAAATACCACAAGATCAAGAATGCAGCTTGTAAACATTGTATCAGAGCATCAAAGTCCATTCAGTCAAGCATCTACAAAGTGAACCTGGTATCACTGTATCAAAGTCCATTTTGTCTTATGCAACAAAATCCCATAGTTGTCTCTCCCATTGCATCATTCTTCTTCAGACATTACTGAGACACTGTCATTTAACAGAAATCACTGTTCATTATGTTTAAATATACATTTATATAGTTGCCCATGCATTTATACATTTTATACACTTATAGCCACATATAGCACGAGAACTATTTTAAGTAAGAAGAAATAGTTCAACTGGGCTATAAAAAATATGCTTTGACTAAGCTATCAAATAGCAAACCATTACTTCTCCATACAGTTTTCCTCTCTTTTCCCAACTTCCATTGAAAATCAAAATACATGACTCGCTACTTTGTACTATTTGGAGTAAAGTTAGTGAAGAAAAGTAACAATTTCTTCTTCTGCTAAAATAAGTCACTTAAGCTCCACTGTAGCAAATATAGTAGGCAGTGACACAACAAGACATTTAGGAACAATGTTTTAAAAACAGGGTAAGTATGCAAACAAAAAGGCAACTCACTTGCAAACCCTTACACAGCTGAGAACTGCTGCCAGCCTATTTAAAATTTACCATTATAAAGTCTGTTAGACCTTAAAGACTCATGATGAAAAAGGAGTCCAAGAAATCTTAAAACTTTTGATCTCAGGAAGAATTTAAAAATTATACCCCTTAACCCCTTTGTTTTCCTAAGGGCTTTATCCTGTATTGTAACCTATGTTTTTTCTTGTACAAGTGACAGCTAACTTCAGATTAAAAAAAAAAAAGGAAGGTGAAAGGTAGGAAACCCTTTAGATGCCCTCAGAGGGGATATTTAAGCAGGAATTCATATGGCTGTGTGCTTGCTAGCATGAAAAACTTTCAGAACTATAAAGGAAAATGTACATAGTCATGGCTGCAGTTCCCTTCAAATGCCCTGTACAGTGCCAGGGTCAGATCTGCAGCCCAGCCCAGGGCAGGGGCACAAGCACCTCCTCCACAAGCACTACACACAGCTGTCCTCTGGAGTGCTCTTCAGGAAACTGGAAGGGTCTTAATCTTAAAGACCACGACGAAACAGCAGGTCTTGCATTAGGCCTGGCATTTGCTACAGCACAGGTCATAAAATGTTAACCACCCACTGCCACTGAGAATACATTTAGCTGAAGTATCCCCAGTAGGACTAAAACAGGAGAGATTCCTTTTCTGGAAAATAGGAAAAATTGCTTTCTGAAAAATAACCAGTGTTCTGCACCTCTAAGATTTTACTACCTTAGAAATCTGAGCAGTTAAATAATTAATTTTGGAAGACGTTGACAGCTGGACTGGATGCTGCTGTCCCTAGTCACTTCACATAGCTGCTGAGTCCATAAGAAATTTCACAGAAGTTACATTTGCAACCAAATTCAGAAGGAAAAAAACCCCAACACCGAAAATACTCCCTCATAGCACTGACATATGTGGGACAGAGTGCCAGGAAGGAGGAGAGCACTCGACAGGTACAGGGTCAGCCAGTCCTGACAGACACCCCCTGCCCTGCTCTCTGCCACGTCTCTTCTTCACTGGGGCAGAACATGCATTGTACCAGAAAACAGCTGCACTAGAGTGCTTCCTGCAGAACTAATCCCACCTCTCAACAAGCTGCAGTTTACCTATGCAGCAGGGGAATGCCTGTGACTCGGTGCTGGTACAATTTTCAGGTGGAGGCCACTTTATAGTGTCAGACACATTGTTATCACAGCTGTACTGAGGTTCAGCTTGTTGAATAGCTCTTTTGTCACGCATTTGTAAATAAGGACAGAAGGTGAAGGACTAGCATGGTTCAATCTTCACTCACTGCAAACACACTAACATAAAGCAGGAGTGATGATGGTATGCACTAGTGCCTCCTACTGCCACCAACTTGATCACCACGTTGCAATTACAAGAGCATAGGTGCTTTACTATTAACATGAACCTGTAAAACTATAGTTGAACTGGCTTCTGCCCCATTAGGCTCTTATTAAAATCTGAATGTTTTCCCACCACTCTAATGACATCAAAATGAAGGACAGAACATCTATGCAGTGCCTTGTTTTTGTCTGAATTGCCCAAGTTACACTGTGGGACTGCTTTTATATTCTCATCCTATTATTATTTCTGTTACAAAACCAGAGATATTATTATCTGTTCTTGCAAAGGAAGGTTCACTTCCAATCTGAAAATTAATATGCAGCTACTGAAATCAGGAGCAGGCTTTTCTTTCCCTCTAATGAAACCAAAACCTCATGTACTCTGACAATACTTGCAGGCTCTCTGCCACTAGGCTATATTGCAGAGCCTTGTCAGAGATTAGGTATTAGCATTTGTGAGCAGTCACACATAAATCTAATTTAATAGAAAGTGAATAGGAAGACAGGATTGAACTGTCAAAATAAATTGATCAAATAATTTTCCAAAACACCAGTCTAATTGAATTTTTAAATCATTAGGCTGATTGTCACTAGCATTTTCAATCTGGATACTTCTGATGGGGGGGGAGGGGGAAGAAATAATATTTGAATGCAATGTGCTTTGCTGTTTTTATCCTACCTCCATGCTGCTGTTCCAGCCCACTTCTTGCTTTACCATATCCATAACTTAGGGGTATTCTCTGGTAAGTAGATGGAGAAGCAGGAGGTGAGCAAATTGGAGACATCGGAGGAGATTTGGGTTCCTATTTCAAAAACACACCAACACAAAACACAGTTCTGAGACAAAAATTGTAAGAAACAATCAAATAATGCTGCAAAGTGGTCCAAGTGCACACAATATGATGGACAAACAAGAAAAAACACTGCAGCATCCTCAGGCCCTTTATTTCCAAGAAAACGTTTAAAATAGACAAGACAGGATTTGGTACTGAGCCTTTGAGAGATAAAGCATGGCAGTGCTATAACAAAGCTTTACAATGGTCAGCTCAATGTATTTTACTTCCCAAGATTCCTGAAGTAGTAAATGTAGAAGGCTCAATGTGTGTGGATAACTTCGAATTTACATAGTGTGAGTGTGTTCATTGTGGGAGATCATTTTTCATACTGAAAAAAAAAGTTCAAAAAATTAAAATACAGCTCTGGATCGGTATTTTAAACACTGTGGATTTGTAAGTATCTGGGTAACTATCCTAAAGCTTTCTCTTTCCTTTGATTTACTGAGATTTCTTGAGAAAAGAATGTAAGCCTGAAAGGTTGTACTGAATAAAGAGGAAAATATAACACAACACAGATAATTCAGATGGAGCCAAGAGTTTGAGGGCAGTGTTCTACTCTGGTGTCAGTACACAGAGGACAGGCATACATGCTCTTCTTCCTCATCCTGTTATTCCACCTGTGTATGTTGTCATCAGCTCACTCCTGCTGGCTGACCTTGGGCTGGGAGCGCCGTTACTGACGCCTACGCACCAGGATAAATGTGGATAAATGTTCTGGGAAGATAAAATTGCTTCCACCAGGCACTTACAACATGACCTGATACAGCACCAAAGGAGAAGGTGTCAAGCCTGGGGAAAATTATGCAAATCAGTCTTTATGAAAATGATGCAGCACTGTGAAGCTTCTTGTATCTGAACATGCACTCTCTACTCTCCTAAGTATAGGTAATATGAATGTTCCTTGGATGCTTCATTAAACTGGCATCTCAGAACAACAGATGCTGGGACAATGTTTCACTCGGAAAAAAGAAAAGCAGGTATCTTCTGGACTACTCCTTGGGGAGATAAAAATGAAAGAAAACTTGGGGACCTTACCCCACCCAAAAACAATGGCTCATGATTGAATACCTCATCTCCAATTGAGTATTTCCAGAGTGACTAAGGACCATTACCATACTTGCATGGGAAATCACTCACTTTCCTGTTCTGTTTCACAGACAGATTTCTATTTGCTGCTTTTCCCACATCCTTTCCAAGAAACAGTGCTGGATTAAGTAGGAGGAAAACACTGAAAGAACTTACACAGAATATTACAGAGCTGACTGCTTTATACAAGCTCATATAGAGAACGTTCTTCAGAGAAGCACCTGGCATGTATCAAAACCAGAATACAGGCATGATGGGGATTATTTGTACTTCAGGAGTCCATCTCCTGTCTAGTATTGGAAAAGTGAGTAAGCCCCTGTGAGTGTAATCATTTATAGGACTGGACCCAAAATAAGGATGCATAATGACATGTTGGCCTGAAGGAGACAAGCCTGTTACCTGTTTGTCCCCTTCATCTGTTCTTTTGTAGGAATTTTTTTCCAAAGTTGCATGTGGAACCTGAAATTTAACTCCATGGAATTCTGCTGGAGTCCCATAACGTACTTCAGTGTCATTTTTCAGTGCCATAAATCGTGGTAGAGGCAATTCTTTATTAAGAGAGAGAAAAATTCAATTGAGACTACAGAACATTAGAAGCACTTAAAGCAATATCATCTTGTAAAACCAATGAAAAGTTTATCTATTAAAGACTGCTAGTTATATTTTGTAACATTTTTAAGTGTGGGACTCCTTTGATTATTTTATGTCTTAATAAAAATATGAATGTTACACAAAGCTACATTCACTAGCTTTATATATAATCTTTCCATGCAAAGAGGAAGAAATAAGCCCTTGTGCATGTTATTAAAGCAAGTAGCAAATTCATTTCCTGCCTTCAAAACCTTGCCTGTAATGAAAAGAATAGTTTCCCACAGAAACTGCGGGACGGATAAATTAATCTGTCAGGATCACAGTATCCTCAATGCTGCCGTCACAAAAGGAACCAATCAGAAATGGAAGGGTTCAGAGATCACACCAAGGCCTAGAGAGACAGCTGTGCCAAAAGGTCCCATGTCGCATCTGCTGTGCTGAGCACGAGACTGACACTTTGACACTCTTTAAGATTCCCAATTATTTTGCAGAAACACCATTTATTTTTGTGCACAGTCACCCTAAAAGATCAATACAATTAAAATCAACAGAATGCTCAACACCAAGCAAAGCCATTCATCCATTATCTCTGTAATCTTTCACACTAACAATTACAACCACAAAAAAAGTAAATCAATTGGAATTTGGTACATGTTACTCACTCCACTCTAAAGATGCTCATATGTTTTCTGGAGAAAATGTAATTAGCACTGGAAGAGGTTTTATTGAAATTTTACTGACACAGTAAGTAAGCAGAATGTCAATACAAAGACTGCAAGTACTTGCTTTCACTCAAATTTGTGGATTATTTGCATATGCTGGACTTGTAAAAGATACAGAGTAAATCTCAGTCCAGGTTTCTAATTCAGTTTGTTGAGAATTTATTGTTGTGGTTTTCTTTTTTTTCTTTTCAATTAACATCTTTAAAAAGGACAGCAATGCAAAAGAAAGTGCACAAGCTGTCTGTAAGGAAAACTGACAGACAAATCCAGGCCACTTGTCTTCCCCCTTGGTTCAAGCTCCTGTTCCAGCAAGGCACTAAACTGAACTGTGCCAGCTGCATCTGATCCCTCCACTGGTCAGGAGCTCTGCACCAAGGGAGCTCAGCTCACACAGCTCATCATGTGCTTGCCATTCTGTCCTTCCCTCCCTGGGATGGGGCAGACCTGGGAACCCCCTCCCTGTGCCTTGCAATGCACATGAATTGGACGTTTCATTGCCCTTATCAGGGACAGCAGAGCAGAAGCTGTGCTGGGAGCAGTGACCTGATTGCAGAGTTGTGTGTAGGTGCTGCCTTTCCAGCCTTTTCTCTGATCTTGTGGCTGCTTGCACTGCTCCTGCAGTGGGATGGTGCAAGCACAGCCTCAGGGCACGGCTTGAACACCCATCCGGGATATGGGAGCTAAGGGTTCAGACCTGTTCAAGCTCAAGCAAAAAGCCTTGTGTTCTGAAGACTGAGCCCTGCTGAGGCAGAGTGTGCATCACTGAAGCAAGAACACTGAGTTCCTTCCAAGTTGCTATCAAGGTTTCACAGCTGAAAGGGACCTACTTTCTCTCTTCATCGCTTGAGTTAGATAAGGCTCTTTCAAGAAGCTCTCTTCTCCACCAAAAATGGTACATTTAATATTAGTGTCAATTCATTGGGAAGAATATAGCTGTTTTAAAATCTAATATACATTTTCGTACCTATTCACAGTAAGCACTATGATTTTATCTCCACCACCCATTTATTCCAGCAGGATTATTTGCTAAAGTAGATGAGTGTTCCAATCTGCTCCGCACAGAGGGACTCCCTGACCTGCCCATGTCCCCCACAATGTGCCTCCACCCAAAGCAGCTATCAGCTCTCACTCTGGACAGCTGTCAAGATTAGAGGCTGAAGGTGAGAGAGAAATGCATCTCCCACACTGATCATCTGTCATTCCTGCTGCTCCTTTGTAATGCCTTTTCCAGAGGGGGATGTCGTCTCAGATCTGCCATATCTAAAATTCACTGCAATTTTCCACCACTCAGAGCACGTAATATTGCCTTCCACTCTTTCTCTGCTCCTTAAAATTGTTCATAGAAACATAAGAAGAAAGAGTTTACCACCATGGAGAGCTGACAAGCATTGAAGAAAGTGAGAAACAAGTGCATAGCACTGCAAGCAAAATTTGCTACTTACCATTCTTAATGCTCTCAATCCGCACTGGGAACCCTGACTGTGCTGCTGCAATTAACTTCAAAGCAATATAAAATTGAGCAGGACCAAAATAACCCACACGCTTGGCTCCACAAACTTCAGTAATCTAAGAGAGAAGAGACACATTGTCAGTGAAATGCATTTCCCTCTTCAGGAACATCTCCACATAAACAAAGCAAAAACTTTAAAATGCTTGTTGTCTTTGAAGTTTCTACTATGCGTATTTGTTTCAACTCAGAACATTTGTACACCAGAGACAGGTTGGTAGCTGTGACACTTTTCAGAAGCACTGCTGGTTAACACTGCTATCCTAAAAGAAGTTATGGGTTCTCATACTATGTAAGATTTTAACAGCAGGGGAAATTAGAAGTTCTTAAGTACCCTGTCCAATAAAACATTTCCACCAGAGAAACTGTGATTTCTTTGGAAAATTATACTTAATATTAGCCCTAGCAACAACAGTTCAGATAAATACCGTAACTGGAACATAAACACAACAAAAGACCAACACAGCACAATGCTTGAACAAACACTTAATTTTTTGTGTGAAAAATTAATATGGTCTCAGCACTGAAGTTTAAATTCTATGTATATTTCATTATTTACTTCACTCTGCCTCTTTCATGAAGCAAAGAGCACCACGATCACACACTCAGACAATGCCTAAACAAACAGCAGATATCAGCAGGTTTTAAGCATAGGCGCCAATTCTCCCACGCCTGGAGCTCCCAGATGTTCACAAACAACCTCAGACAGGCATTGAGGTTAGAACAAAACTCCATTTGCACCACGCACAATAGGAAATCTCAAATTATTTTCCTGAAAATACACCTAGATTAGCAATGTCTACTGGCTGGCGAGGTGCAGCCCCTGTGACAGCTCTCCATGGGCAAGTGTTGCTTCTAGAAAGCCGTGTCCATGGAGTGGCTCCCAAGCTGCAACAGCATGACAGAAAGTATTAAGTTGCAAATAAGCAAATAGCACAAATAGTCTATTTTTTCTGACTTATTTTTATACATGTATATACACCTACATACACAGTGGCAAAATGTCAGGTCAAACCATTACTGAAAAAATCAAATGTTTTGGAATGGTAATTCTTACTAATCAAAGACAATTGTTTCCAAGCAAACCCTTTATTCTCTGGATGTGCCCTTTGCTTTGACAGAATGAACTCTGGCAACTTTCTCTTTCTACGATTTTCAGACTTGGTCACAAGACACATCAAATAGTTTTCTTTGTCTTACTGTTTGATGAAAAGGGAGATTGAGTCTCTGTGTAAGGACAGCTTCAATTAACCAGAAGCATTTGTCATTCTCTTTCCTCTACTTTTTTCTCTGTAACTGTGGCCTTTTTTATTCTACCCTTACCTCTATCACTGGCCTTGCTTCCTTTATTTTCCAGTGGGAAAGCAAGGCACTTGGGATGTGCCCGAGATGGATGACTGGGCACAACCCTGGTAGCTTTCCTGAGCTCCAAAGCAGAGTTCTCCCCGTTGGTCCTGGATGCTCCTAATTCACTCAGTCCCGCTGCCCACTCCACCCACTTCTGCATGGTCCTTTGCCAGCCAGCAGCCCTGGCTCTGCCTGGTGCAGTGGTGTGGAGCACAGATGACTGGACTGGATCCGTGGATATGGAACATGCACAGCAGCTGCACTTCAGACTGCTCCTCATGCTCTGGGGACAATGCTGCTGCAGCAGGTATGTGAGAGAAGCCACCAGCCTATCCAACAGCCTGGGGAGAACCAGATGGAGAAGGGGCACAACCAAGCTGAAATTCAATCTGGGTTCACAGCTCTGGTCTGTTATGGGAGGTGTTTGCTGTATGGGAGGGCAGCTGGCAAAAGCTGGGCACCCACCAGCAGCCAGGCCCTCGCTGGAGGCTGTGGGTGCTCAGCTCCTGTGTGACCCACGGGCAGTGCCTGGGACAGCTCCTGCTGTGGGGCAGCAATGGCACACAAAGTCCCTGGGAGTGCCCACAGGGTATACCCTATAGGGACTTTTCTCCTCTTGGGCTCTTTTCCTGCCAGGGCTACGCTTCCTGCCCTGCCTATGCTTGCTGAGGTGGAGCAGCAGTGTCACCATGATGTGTTTCTTCTCGCTGGCTGCTGGAAAAAGGCAATACTGAGCAGCTGGGACTTTCACAGAGATGCTACTATCTTCCTGAAGAGTTCATTTTCCATATATTTTCTATACTTTGAAATATTAAGGGTGTTGAATGCTGCAAATGCTCTGCTTGCTCTTCATATGGAAACATGAACATTTTATTCTGAACAAGCAGGCTAAAAATTTTTATCAAGGACATCTCATCCATCAAAAAATACAGTGATGTTTCTCAAGCACACATAGCCAACCAATCAGAAACTGCTTCTCTGTAATTTTGCTTTTTGATGATAATAACAGAAATAAATTTTGTAGACACAAGCTTCTTTGTTGTTTGTGCAACCAAATTCTGAATGATTTGTTAATGGTCCAGAGCAAAAGATAGAAACTGACAGAGTAGTTAAATTTATTACACAATTATTTGTGGGTATTTATATAGATTAATTGCAGGTACAGGCATTTATTCTCATCAGGCTCCTTGTCCAGTAAAAGCAAAGGGTCTTGGGTTCCTTCCAGCCAGCATTTTACACTATCTGCATCAGAACCCTGCTTAGAGGTGCCAACAGAGCAGCCCCTCTCTCCAGCAACCACAGAAGTTGGTAGCAGATTAGCCTTTATCCAAAAGTAAATCCTCATGCTGCCTGCTCAAATTTCCCTATCAGCTTAAATTGAACACTGCATTATTTTTTTGTTTCCTGGTTTTACCTTTCACAGGTCAGTGCACATAGCTTTTTGATGGGCAGTTTACAATTAGTGATATGCAATTCTGAAATTAGGCTAGTTTGAGTGATGCACTATTAGGACTATCCCAAGGTCCATCCAAGTTAAAGGCACTGCATATGAATGTGATATGGTAATTTTTCATTTAAATCCTTGAACCAGTTGTCAGTTTGGGCTGCATGCTTTTTAGCAAGCCAGCAAGGAAAGAGCTGGTATTTTCTGCTTGTGCACTGCTAAACAAGCACACATATAAATAAAAAAAAACTTGCATGCCTTGATTAGGGATTTTAATGCAGAACTATTGACTGTCCAACTATATCACAACTTTTCCTTTAATTCTCCAGCAGAAAGCTGTAAGCCTCCAGTGATAGCAAAATATTGGGAAAAAAAGTGTAACAAAGAATGTATTGGAAATAATTTTTCATGGTGGTGGGTTACAGATGTTGTTTGTCAAAACTAACCACAGGATGATAAACAGAGTTAGTCCAAAATCACACAGAATCACAGAATGGCTGGGGTTGGAAGTGACCTCTAGAGGTCCTCGAGTCCAACCTCCTTGCTTAGGAGATCAGCATCACCTAGAGCTGGTTGTACAAGACTGCACACAGGAAGGTTTCAAAAACGTCCAGAGAAGGAGAATCTGCCATTGTCACAGTAAAGAAGCTTTCCTCATATTCAGAAGGAACTTCCTTTGTTTTCCTTTGTGCCTATTGCCCCTTGTCCTGTTTCTAGACACCACCAAGAAGCCCGGCTCCATACTCTTGACACCTCCCTTCAGACACTTACATACATTGACAAAATCACCCCTCCATCTTCGTCAGGCTAAACAGGTCCAGGTCCCTCAGTCTCCTCCTAAGAGATGCTGAAGTCCCCTGGTCATCTTTGGAGCAGTGATGCCTAAACTTTAACCACCTGGACCCACCTCCATACCTTCCAGACCTCTAACGTATGGGATTCTTCCAAGTAGATCCTAGAAGAGGCCAAACCTAGCTCTCCTGAAATCCAGGGCTGGGTACCTAACTTTTTGCCCTGTTTCCTCCACACAGGTTCATGAACTCCACCATGTCATGGTCACTGCAGCCAAGGCTGTCCCAACCTTCACATCCCAAACCAGTCCTTCTTTCTTCATTAGTACAAGGAGTAGCACCGCGTCTCTCCATGCCCTCCAAGAGCACTGACCTTGAAAACACACTGGGCAGGCCTAATTTAGATTGCAAGAACTAAACTTCAGAAACTGAATGAGCTGAGAGCTGAAGTTTGTTTTCCATAAGTAGAAAAAGGAGTATAATCAGAAATAACTATACCCTAATCCTATGGACAGGCTGAAATGGTCATCCTGGAGCTTCAAGGCAAAGGTAGACCTGCGACTGACTTTTGTTGTTTCATTTATCTGCTGTGGCATCCTCTGTATCATGATGGCACACAATTTTTGTCTGTTCTCTGTCACCCTGCTGCTACCTGCCACATAGATGGTCACTGCTTGTCATTCGTGGGCAAATCCAGCTCAAAGGCACTCACACCTCCATGTGGGCTGTGGGATCCTGTGAGAGCACCTGTGAGCTGAATGAGTCACCTCATTTGAGAGAAAAAGGTGGTGACCATCACTGGCTCCTACATTAAAGGAAATTTTCTCGCCACAATTTCCATCTCAGCGCAACCCCAGAATGCACATCTATTTTACTTGTCCCTGCTCAATTTATAATGAGGTAGAAATATTTTCCAGTTTATCAACTTCCTCTGAATTTTAGGGAAGATGTTGAAAAGTTTCTGCCATTACCCAATGCACACCTCACCCAGTGCTCTTCCAAGGACAACCAACTGTGATGCCACTGCTCTGACCTCAACCACAGAGTGACCTCAGGCTCCCTTTTGGGTCAACCATCTGCTTATAATAGTTTCAAAGACAAATATTTGCAGCAGTGGCTTATCAACAGCTTATCTCAAAATTGTGTCATGCATCTGACCCACTTTACCCTTTTTTTTTTTTATTTTGTGTTTACAGACTCTTTGATCTGCTTGTTATAGACAAGTTTTGCTACATTCTTAAACAAGTATTTCTCTCTCAACGGATCATTGTTCAGACATTTGTAATACTACTTGGAGCCCAGGGCTACATATCTATTTCTTCAATATTTAAAGCAAAGTAAGAAATAACACATCAAAGATTACTGACTGGGAAGGCAACAGAAATATGCTGGGGTGTTACATTCCCAGATGCACATAGGAAGAGGCTCTGCCATGGATTAGGTTCTTTACCTCTGCTCCATCGTATCAGTGGTATTT